CCTCCCCTCGGGAGGAGCTGCAGCCCCCGAGGAGTCTCCCCTCAGTCTCCTCTGCTCCAGCTGAACAAGCCAAGAGCCCTGAGCCGCTCCTCAGACCCTTCCCCAGCTCCGTGTCCCTCCCCTGGCACTCGCCTCTGACCAGTCCAGGGCCACCCACTCTGGAGGACACGTTTGGTTGTTGCAAGGCTCCAGCATCTTTGGCCGTGGCTGGCTGCAGGACGCATCATCCAGGGTCTTCTCCTCGCTGGCTGAGATTTTCCTCTTGCAGAAGACACTGCGGGTCCGGACGCCCTCATTGCAGCTCCGGCTGCACTCGGACCAGTTCCCGATGACCCAGCTGGACAAGGGCCACAGGGCACAGCTGTGAGGGGCACGCTGGGCTGGGCTCGCCCCCTGCTCCTGCCCACAGCCCTGGTCCGGCCACAGCCTCCCAGGCAGCTCAGGTGGAACCACAGAGCTCCTCCACATCTGCCCYTCCCCTTCAGGAGAGCAGCCAGGGAGGGGCTGGAACAGATCCTGAGCGTTTCCTTGAATGGATCGGATGGAGGAGAACACCCCAATTCCCCAATGGAGCTGCTCCAGCCAGGGAGAGTCTGGGATAAATTCTGAGGGTATCCCTGAATGGATGGGGTTGAGAAGAACCCTCAGTTCTCCAGCAGAGCTGCTTCAGCCAGGGAGGGTCTGGGATAAATTCTGAGGATATCCCTGAATGGATGGGATGGAGAACCCCCCAATTCTCCAGCAGAGCTGCTCCAGCCAGGGAGGGGCTGGGACAGAATCCTGAATGGATGGGACAGAGAAGAACCCCCCAATTCCCCAATGGAGCTGCTCCAGCCAAGGAGGGACTGGGACAAATCCTGAGGGACTCCCTGAATCAATGAAGCAGAGGAGAACTCCCAATTCTCCAGCAGAGCTGCTCCAGCCAGGGAGGGCTGGGATAATGTCCAGCCTGAATGGATGGGACAGAGGAGAAACTCCCATTCCCCAGCAGAGCTGCTCCAGCTGGCAGTGCCACCCCCTGGGCGCTGTGACTTGGGAATGGCAGCCAGGGTGGAATTTCACCCGCTCCCACCCTGATTTCCCCCCAGGATCCCTGCTGCTGGCCCAGGACTCACGCTGGGGGACAGGGCTCGGTGTTGCAGGGTCTCTGCCGCTCGGGTGCTTTGGGGTCGGCGCYGCAGAAGTGTCCGGGCACGGTGGAGCCGTCTGAGAGCTTCTTGCACACCACGGACTGCACCTGGCTGCCTGCCGGGGAAAGGGGAGAGGGAAAGGGAGCAGGAGGCTGAGRATGGAGCAGAGCCAGGCTGGGGTGCCAGCCCCACAGCTCTGCCCCTGCTGGGTGATGTGACACAGTGGCCACTTGTCACATGAGGAGCCTGAACCTCCTTCTCTATCCAAGGGCTCCTCTGGTATGGCCAGGATAAATGGGTGTTGTGGGATGGTGATGTCTGGATGTGGCATGATGGGTGATGGGCACAGGATGGACTCAGTGGCCCTGGGGGGCTTTTCCAACCTCAAAATCCTGGGATTCTAAAGCTCCCCAGGCAGGGCAGGACACAGCGGAGGATGGAGGAACAAAGCACTGGAGGGATCTCATGTTCAAATAAAGCTGTGACACTTGGCCTGGGAGGGTGACAGGCCCTGGCACAGCTGTGGCTGCCCCTGGATCCCTGGCAGTGCCCAAGGCCAGGCTGGACATTGGGGCTGGGAGCAGCCTGGGACAGTGGGAGGTGTCCCTGCCATGGCAGGGGTGGGATGGGATGGGATGGGATGGGATCCATGGGATGGGATGGGAT